TTAGCAAAATATCTTGTAAACACCTTGATGGATTTTAGTGAAACATGCAAATAGTTCTAACTGGATGCACATCTGCAACTGATTAACTTTTGGAGTCAACTCAATGCTAGATGAAGGTGGCCGCCACAGCTAATCGACATTAGCCGACACAAAAATGAATGTAACTCAGCCAGTTTTACATGTATTGAACAGAAATTTAAGGTGGTAGTTGCTGAGAGTCATTCATAACTCATACTCGGATTATCAGAATGTCAATTGTAAACGATTGCTCACACTATTATTAAAGATTTGACAAAACTCTTACTCACAAGATGATTTTGGTTTAAAACTCGGGCTTCAAATGTGGCGGGTAACAAGAATTCCTTCATGGAATTTTAGGCTTGCAGTGTTACCTCACAAAGCTATAACTTCTTTACACACACACGCATGCACACACACACACACACACGCACACGCACAAAGGAATAAAAAGCCTCCTTACGTCAGTATCTGACAGAAGTCTGTAGAAAAATGAAAGAAGTGCAACAATAGCATCTTTTCCTCTATCTCTTAAAAGATAATCACAAACAGCTATTAAAATTAAGAGTTTGCTTTAAATTAAAATTAATTATGCATCAGCTCCTAAATGTGATGGAAAGATTACATGCAGACGTGGCGTAATAAAAGATAAGAGAAGACTGGGACATGTTAGCTTTGCTTATTGTATGTGGGTGGTAGCTATGAAGCGGAACATCAATTTCAATTTGCAAAAAAAAAAAAAAAAAAAAAAAAACTTTGCTCCTGCAGAAAGGAGTCACCTTGAGATTTGATTGGAGGGACATCAGAGGAGCTCACACTCAGCAGATAATTGCACATTTCCTGTCTGAAACAGAAACCGTTTTTTATATATATATATATATTTTAATTTTTTTCAGAAGAGGGGGTAAACAAAACTTTTACTCCATTGCTTTATTTTCTCATTAATCAAACTTTTAAACTACCACGGCAGCATCCAGCACATGCCTCCCTCTGGTGAACATCAATCTCTGATTAAATATCAGAGTAATAAACATCAAGCAGCAACATGGCTGACATTAGAGCCTATAGTGCTGTTCGCAGCATCTTTCAGGTTTGGAGTTAATCACCTCACAAACACGAGTCTCTTCTCCCTGACACTTTGGTGCAGGATTAACAGGCTGGCTGTGCGCGCCTTAATTAATGCAGATTTCTCTGGGTCATACGGCAGCAGTTGGAGATAATTGTGTTGTGGTTATCGCAGGCTTCAGGTGCTCGTCCTTCATCACTGTTTGAAACAACCAGCTCATCTGCCTCATGGAACATGACTTGGCATTCCTCGGCTCCCCCTCTCCCTCCAACAGTGAAATTTGTGCAGTATTTATAAAAAGCAAAAAAGGACTTTAGCTAATTATTATTATTTTCTCTCATCTAAAGGTTTGTATTGCTTTTCTTTGTGTTTGCACTGGCTGTCTTTTTTATTTTATAATTGCTCAGTTTATCAGCTTGCTACACTTAAAAACGGAGCAATAATCTTGATGTAAAGTGCTGAACACAGAATCACATGGGTAGTCTTGGCAACACCTTATGTTTGGAGGTTTGGAGAATGTTCTACGATTGTCCAGATCACATATCCCTACAGGCCCTCTCAGTCCCTCRGGTCAGCTGATACGCTGCTCCTGACTGTGCCCAAGACAAAGCGTAAGCTCAGAGGTGACCGTGCATTTTCTGTGGCCACTCCTAAGTTACGGAACGACCTTCCTTTACTAAAAAACTGTCCATCTTACCAAGTTTTAAAATCTTATATCCAGCCAAAAAGTCTTTTTGATTTTGTTTTGAGACTGATTTACTAAACAAGAACTGATTGTAAGAACAATATTCTTGTTTTCAGAATGTGTAAGATTATTTGCCTGAAAATTTGACTCAAATTAAGTCAAAAATTTCTGCCAATGGAGTAAGAACATTTTACTTGGTAAGATTCTTGAAATAATAAAAAAATGAGTCAAATCAAGTATTTCAAGACCCCTGGATTGTGGTGAATCAAAAACATCAAGGACTCTGCTGCAGAAAGTTTGTCTGATCATCTGATAGGTGATGTTTTTAAAAGTTCAACACCAGTGGTTCTTAACTTTGTTTGAGGTACCGAACCCACCAGTTTCGCATGCGCATTCACTGAACCCTTTTTATTGATAAATAAAATATGATTTTTTTT